GGTTTTTACCCTCTGGTTACCCCCCCAAAGACGCAAAGGATTATGTGGATGTGAAAGTCGAGAATTTAAGAAATGCCATACCTCTAGGTCTACTTTCATTAGAAGACTTCCTTTCCTGCTGTGGTTTCTCTTCCGCATCATCTTTGCTTGTTTCCTGAGGTTTCTTATTCTCTTTTTCAAAGTTTTTTTCTGTGGAATTTCTCCTCGATGATGGTTTTTTCTTGGTCGTTTGTGTACCCTGCTGAGAAGTACTTGTGGTTTGAGTCTCTTGTGTCTTGACAATATTTTCATCTGCCTGTAGTCGTGGTGAAGGGGTGCTATTTCTAGATAGTCCTGCACCTGAGATTGGTGGAGTCGGATTACGCGGTAGCAGTGGCGTACCAGGCATGATGCCAACTGGCATTGGAGGTTGAACAGGAGGACCTTGTCTGTTAGGGAATTGCTGGGATGATGGTTGATAACCAACTGGATAGCCACTGTATGGCAGACCACCAAAAGGACTGAATACCCCTGGTGATTGGTATGGCGATGGGTATGCTCCAGGGCTGCCCATTGTTGCAGACTGGTTCAGAAAATAAGAAAACCTCATCAGTAATGCTATTAAGTCTAATAACACAGGGAGTATAGTTCTTAATCTATCAAATCAAATACTCATCACTAAAGAAGGGTGACAGGGGTTTGCCATGTTGCAATATCGGCTTTCTTTTCATGCAATATTTCTGTGATTGGAACTTCCTAATCGCTGTGTTGCAGTGATCTCAAACTTTGAGATGTACAGTGTTCAAGTTATTTAATGTACAGTGTCAGGTGAAATGATCCGATTGATTGCAGTGTTGCATAGTTTTCTTCGATTTTTTAGTGATTCTATGCTTTAAAATCATGAGACTCTTAAAGTATAGCAGTGTCGGTGTTTCTTTGACTCTTCTTGCCAGGATGAGGTGATTTTTTTTGGTATTCGAGACCCTCCAATGACCCCCTCCTAATGTGTTTTTCTCACATCAAATTGTAATCTACATTTTAAAACTTTTTCAGCTCTCGCTTTGCAACTTTATAATTGGATAATTGAATGGAGACGAGAAACACGTACGAAACTATCTCAGAATCATTTCCTTCTTACAATTTTTTTTATTTAAATTATTGGACAGGTTTTGGTTGTCTATGAAAGTCTATTATCTAATGTTAATTCTTTATCAAGATTTCATATAGTTGTCAACATTCAGAAGCTCATAAGAAAATATGCGATTGAGATGGGAGCTTTTGTTATGTGTTGATGGTAATGGGGACACGTCTTGGACAACAAAAAACCATGGCGGCGTTCAATGTGTTAACAGTAAACTTACATGAAGAATTGCTGGATCTTGCTGAGGCTGCTGAGGTGGTTTCTTATCTGGAGGTTCAAAAACGTTCAAGTCTTTGATGTCTTGTCCACGAAAAACAATGTATTCGTAAATTTCTTTACGAGGAGCTATGACATTGTCTTTACAACGGTCTTCTGTTCCGAAGGAACGTACTGCAAAGAAACAGAGTTGACATAAGCAATAAATTAGTCTTGGAAAAGGTTTTTGTCGAGGTACAAGAAAAAGGAAGGATTTAATGGAAAAATAAATTTAGTTTTGTCATACCATTTGAAAGCGTTACAGTTGAGTCTTTCAAATCAACGGCGTATAACTTCCCTTCGTAGCGAATTAACGCTTTAGAAATAAGGCTAATTCTGCTACCGATATATGGAGTGGCACTCATATTGAGGTAAAATCTGTCCTAGTGATTATAAGAAAGTAGGATGGCCAAAGATGGCCCAGATTCTCAACTAACTCTATCTTCTTCTGAAATTATTATCAAGATGGCAGCCCAAGCTTGCTATGTGTTGTGGGTAATGTTTGACTAGCATCGTGACGTCATTTCTCTGGCGCGATTATAATCGGGACTAGGGGGAGAGGGGTGGAGGGGTGAGATTTTAGGGAAGAGGCTAGGGGGCCTTAAAAAAATCAAACTCAAAAGTGGGGAGGGGGTGAGTTCGCGCAAAAGTTTGAGGAGTATCACAGCACTTTACAATGCTTAGAAAACAAGGGAGAGGTCATTTTTAGTGCATAGAGAAGGGGCGGTAGAGTAATTTACCCTAAAGGTTTGTGCTTTCGAAGCAATTTGAAAAGAAAATTAATACATCCAGCTGCGCATCAACAAAGGAGACGGATGGACAGAGAAACAAAAAGACAGATACTATGACTGAAACAAAGCTGGACTGGCAAATGATAGACAAACAGACAGACAGACAGACAGACACTGGGACAAACAAATAGACAGACATGGACATCCAAAATATTAGACAAATTAAGAGATGTACAGACAAAAAAGATCTGCACCCAAACAAATAAAGCGAGACAGACCGAGACAATAAGCAAATAGACAGAAGGACAAACAAACAAATAAACAAATATACAGACGGACAGACAGACAATAATAATAATGATGATAGTCAAAATTTATAAAGCGCCATATGGCGCTAGGATAATTTATTTCTTGGATTTTGACTTCCCCTATGGAATACAAAGAATTTTAAAGGAGGAAAAAATGAAAAATCAAATTTCAGTCGTCGAAGTCCTATTTCGTAACAATGACGTCATTGTCAGGCCGGCTGCATCACATGATTTAAGTTCTTCCGCAAGATGGCGGATCCCAACCAACAAGAAGATAATCTCTCTCCTAATATTGAGGAAAATACCAACGACAACGCACCACTGTTGCAGAATCAAGAACGAAATGAGCCTCCGCCACCCTTTAATTCTGGATTTAATGCTCAAGGTAGGAAAATTTGGCGCTTAAAGAGGCGAAAACTATTGCTTTCCAAACGCGTTCGTACAACTTGAATTTGTGTTCTTCTCGTAAAAAAGAGAAAAATATAAGCTTTTTTAAATGCTCAGATTATCGTTATTTATCTATCTAACTTTCCTTCCAGTGATTCATCATTTCTTTTTACTCGTAAACATCAGATTCACGTCAAAAAACTTGCAAAATTTCATAATTTTACATGTCAAATTTGTGTCGTTTGTACTTGGATTGATATTAAAAGTTACAGTGTTATCCTTATGATGATAAATATTTAAGAGATTTTTGACTCTCTGTCTTAGTTAATACTTAAAAGTGCTCTATTTCGTTATGATATCGAAAAATGTAGGTCAGTTAAAACTGTAAACATTGTAATTTTATTTTATTTGTTTTCGTTCCTTCTTTGACAGATGTTTTCACACTGCATATTGAAAATGTATGATATTTTTTTATTCCAAATTTTACTCATTATTCAATAGCAAACTAGGAATCAGTGTGCTTCGGTTTTTCTAATGATTATTATTAAATATTTAAGTTCTTTATTTGTTCAAAAGACTTTGGATAACTATTTCAAGTTGCTAGTTGCTCAAAGTAACTCATGAAATGAAAGGAAACATGGTCAAAGACTCCAAATTCAAAGCTCAAATGCTTGCGCATGCGCGGATCTTGGCTCCAAACTTGAAATTGTTCACCTTACGTTTTCAAAAGACGTGAGGATTTTGAGTAACTTTGAGTATCAAGTATTATCGTTGCAATCCGTGCAATCTAGAACAATTCAGCCGTTTATTCATTTAGTTTTATTATTTTTTCCTATTTCTGAGTGGTTATTTTTGTTTTAGAATCCTATTTTATGCATTTTTATTGGTCAAAAACGATGTAATTATAATGGCTTGTCATGGCGGCCACCGCGAAGGAAACGGTTGGAAACGAATATTCGAAAACTCCACCGAAAGGATCCGAGAATGGAGGATTGGTCATCAAAGAATACACTTGGACATTCAAGTGTACAGTTCTTGGTTTTCTCGTAAGACCAATTGTGGATATTTGACCGATAGTGAGAAGAAAAGAACTTTACCTGAATTGTCACCTCGACCTCTGGAATCGTTGACTCATTTGTCGCCATTAGTTCGCCATCTGTACAGTTAACTTGTTATTGTTACATAATTAGTGAAAGCTGAACAGAAGAACTCATTCAAATTCCTTTAAAACACAAAGTTTAAAATTCCTAACAAGATTCTCCCAGGAAATCTTTGAGTTCATGACCCTTACAAATCTTTACATATCATTAAAGTTCATGCATGCACGTGTCGTGACAGTGCTCATTTAACTTACTTGCAAAATACTTGTTTCAGATTCTGTTCCAAGCCCAAACTCACCCCCTCCAGCCTACTCTGAAGTACCTCCACCCTACACACCAGCTCCAGTGGGTTCCATTCCGGTAAATGCTGAGCCATCGGTCATCTGTAGAGTTTGCCAACAAATCATTTACATCCGTGGTAGAGAGCAGCAAAGGGTGGTCAAGTGTTCCATCTGCCAAGAGGCTACAGTATGTATCACTTTGTTTTTTTTTTTTTTTCAGGGCTGTAAATGATGGGAGTTATTTTTTTCCGGTCCGGTATCCTAAAAAATTGTGCATTCTGATTGGCTGTTTGAGGGGCGGTATTTTGTCAGTATCTGCCCACGCTCACAGTTCGGTATCCTTTGCCGCTTAACGACAAAACAAAACGATTAYAAAAACAAGTAAAATAAATATGGGAAAAAAATTAATAAGTTATTTACCGTCCTATAGTCGGTCCGGATAGGGAAAAACTGAGCCCTTTGGTCTTGAAAACGCTCGGTCCACATATTCAAGACCACGGGCACAGCTTTTCCCTATCCCAACCTCCAGGCCGGTAAATAACATATATATGTCATTGGACTCACGGTTCGGTATCCTTTGCCGCTTAACGACAAAACAAAACGATTACAAAAACAAGTAAAATAAATATGGGAAAAAAATTAATAAGTTATTTACCGTCCTATAGTCGGTCCGGATAGGGAAAAACTGAGCCCTTTGGTCTTGAAAACGCTTGGTCCAWATATTCAAGACCACGGGCACAGCTTTTCCCTATCCCGACCTCCAGGCCAGTAAATAACATATGTATGTCATTGGACTTGGTTTGCCTAGGATTGGAACTTGTCCTGGCAAATCCTTGTCTTACTGGTCATTTTAACCAGTAACATCAAGCCAGAACAATATATAACTGAGCTAAAACTAATTTGGCTGGTCGTCATTGTTTTTAGCCCTGTACATGTTCCATTAACTTTTAATTTTTTATCAGCAAAAGAAGACCTACTACTGATATGTTATAGATCTTTCTCTAAGTCTGTGGTTCTTTAGTGGACACTGAAACCAGCACATGATCTGAGTATTACTTGTCTTATAGTACACTCAACAAAATTACTCGACTCTGATTGGTCGAGAGGAGTACAATTATAGCGTTAATTGTACTCCGTAGGAGTACCGAATTAAGTCGCTATGGCAACACGGCCAAAACAATGTCAAAACAATTATTTTCTATCATTTCGTACTTAAAAAGCATAAACAAAATTTTAAAGCCGTAAGAACTAATCCTTTTTATGCATTTCGGTATCGCGATGGACTGGAAATCGACCGCCAAATAGACAAAGATGAACGGCGTCCCTTCACATTTTTTTACTGAAATTTTTTTGAGTGAACTATAAACAAAAAATCGCACGATATTCTCGTACAATTTGGAATTAATAGACACTCGTAATGTTTTGAAAGTTCTTTAATTGTACTCGCCTAAAGGCCCGTGCAATTACAAGAACTTTCAAAACATTACTCGTGTCTATTAATTTCCAAATCGTACTCGAGATCATGCGATTTCCTATACAAATATTATGTTTAGTAGCATAGAATGAAGTTTGTATCTGTAATAAAAGCACAGACCTTCCCTTCGATAGCTTGGACATGGTGCATAGCTTTGGTACAAACAACTTTTGTTGAAGAATCATCCATCCATAAATATTATCATACCAACCTACAAGACAATACTAGATCTTTTGTTTTTAAACATACCTCATGTGGTGTTGTATTTAATTTACCAAAGCTAGAATGCCCCCTGTAGAACTCAGAATAGGGTTGTCATGAAAGCGGGGTTAACATATCACTGAAACTACTCCAAATTGTCAAAATCTGACTGCATGTATATCATTCTATTACAGCCAATCAAGCCACCTCCCTCAGGGAAAAAGTATATTCGCTGCCCATGTAATGCACTCCTGACTTGCAAAGTTACTTCAACAAGAATTTCATGTCCAAGGCCAAATTGGTAAGAAAAATCAACATGCATGTTAGTGCAGTTTTCCTATAACTGTGAAAAGCTCAGTGCCGTAAGCGTGACATGCCGTGACCGTGATACTTTCTAGAATTTTAATTGGCTGATTTTTTTCACGCGCAATATGATTGGTCTAAAAGTGCCATGATCTTGGCGTGACCATGTCCATGCCGTGTTGATGCTGTGTTCTGGGTATTTGATTGGATGGAAAGTAAATTCTTGTGCAATGTGATTTGTCTGGCGTATCCCTTGCTGTGTCACGACCGTGTTCATGCCGTGAACTTTGCCAATCATACGAAAACTGTACTATGTATACAACTATTTCATAAAACACTGAACAGGGCAATCTTAGACTAAATAGTTTTTATGTTTTCTGGCTAAACTTTGGAATTTCTGAATTGTTTGAAAAGTTACTCTGTCTCAGATTTCAGATGACTGGTGACGCGCAGCATAGTTTGATCAGCTATTTATGAATATGCCCTTGGGAAACCAATATATCCACATTAATCCCCTCTCGGCTTTGTTAATAAAATCTCAACAAAATTAGAGAAAGAATTCAATTTATTTCAATATTTCACTAGTTACCATTTTAATCTCAGCAATCACTATAAATGATTTTTTAAAATGCTCACAGGAATTGCCTTTTGGTAGCATTAATGTGTACATGATAAAAAAGAGGCTTTTACTGCTTTAACAAATTTAAATTGTTAATAAAGAATGATGCTTTGAATACAGTAATAATAATAATAAGTACTGTTTAATAAACGAGCAGGAGTGTTTTATCGGGTATAAAACGCGAGGCGTAGCCGAGCTTAAAAAATTCTATTGTGTTTCCTTCATGAATTATTAATGAGTTTTTAAATAATAGTTTATTATTTGTATTGCGCAATTTAACATGTTAATATGATCAACTGCGCATTACATATAGGTACACTAAAATACTACAAAAATACAGCTGTGGCACATTCTCCCTTAGAACCTACAGTAACATGAAAGCCTAAAATCTAATTAATGTATGCTTATTAAATTGTTTTATTTTAGCAAAAGAATAATAAACTTGGCCGTGAGGACTGCATCTGTTCCATTGACTACAACCACTACAACAAGAGGCAGATTCAGAGTGACTTGTGGACACTGCAATGAAATATTTGTGGTAAGAGAAAAGGACTTAAACTCTGGTAATTCTGGTTAGGCTCACAGTAATTGGCTATGCTGTTGTGGTAAAAATCTGCCCTTTCATTTCTGTTGATTTGTTGTTACCTTAATTTGTGGCGAAGTAAATGTCTACAGTAGGAAGAGGAAGGTAAAACTAGTGTTCTAGTTCTTTTGCTGGATTCATGATCTAATTGTTCTCCTGTGAGCAGAGTATGTTGTCTCTCCCTTGCCCTCTTYCTCTYYYCCCCCCCCCCCCCCCCCYCYCTCAATTCATGGGTTATTCCCTATCTATCTGGTTTGATATATTTTTTGTGATGTCTTCAGGAAATATTAATGTTTAAGTTTGATATGATGATTACATGATGGTGATGTAAATGAAGGGGCATGGTGGTGGTGGTGGTAATGATGATGGTGATGG